GAATTCTGAGAAAAAAGTTTGAATTCTGAGATTAAAATTAGAATTCTTAGATTAAAGTCAGAATTCTGAGAAAAAAGTTTGAATTCTGAGATTAAAATTAGAATTCTTAGATTAAAGTCAGAATTCTGACTTTTTTCCCATACTAAACTGAAATAAAATTTAAAATTCAGTTAACTTTTTTTTTTTTCCCACTGGCCCTAATTCTCTACCATATATAATATTTATTATATTCTTTTTAAATCCTGAAAATTTACAGTGAGTCCAGAGCAGACCAAACCCTGAGACCAAGATGTAGAGCAAACAGACTCAAGAATTGTTTTAACCAATAATAAAACCACTTCTAGAGAGAAAATATCCTGATTTATCAGCTCCTACCCTTCATTTTAACAGAGCTGTGTTCACTTCTCATATCCATCCAAGAGCAAAACCTCGTTCACAATTTTTCACCATTTTAACAAGTGTGCAGAACAAACCCAAAAGCTTACAAAGAACTGTTGATTGGTCCTTTTTAATAATAAGGTCAAAGTATGCTTGCTGAACACCTAAAACTTGCTTTATTACAGCATATTCAAAATAAACAATTGTTCAAATGAACAACTTTAAAAGAAAATCAGTTTCAATGTGTGAATATGAGCTGAAAAGTCATCTAAAAGTTTACACCAGCTTTACTCCACTTGTGAAAATAATGAAAATGGTGAATGACTTTTAAATAAATAATAAAATGTTTGATCTTCCATGTAAAGGCAAATATTTCTCCCCTAGCCAAAGCCAACTGTTCCATCCCTGTCATCTGATGCTTGTTGCCATGGAGACTTTGCGCCCCCTGCTGACAAATGCGTAGAATAGCATCCCTACTTCCCTACTTACTGGAAAAGAACTGCAGTAAAATAATCTGTCTAATCTGCAACATGTAAGGGGGGGGGGGGGGAGATCAAAGGGATTAAATCAGAAATTATACAATCATTTTCATATATGTGAGATATTTTCATCTATAGAGCCGGGCCTGTTTGTACGACGGCGTAGTGGGGCCATTAAAAAAAGAGGAATTTATATTTTTGAATTTAAAGTGGAAGTTTTTATGGGAAAAAAACAGGTACATTTACCAGATTATAAAGATGCAAATTTAGAAGGAAACAGGTGATTAATATGCGTGAATAAATAGGCAAATTTCGTGAAAAAACAGGTAAATTTACAAGATTATACAGATTTAGAAGGAAAACGTACAAAATTTACGAGGAAAAAAAACATGTAAATTGTTGAGAAAAACGTGCAAATGTATGAGACTGAATTGGCAAATTTCAAGAAAACAACGTGCAAATGTTCGAGATTATTAAAATCCTAATTTAGAAGGAAAAAGTTTAAATTTACAAGAATACACCTGCAGATTAATTGTATCATTCATTTTTACTTCCATGAGGAGGCCATTGTCTCATTGCATCCCTAAAGCCCCCAATTAATGAGCATTTGCATGTGCTTTGTGTTGCACATTTTAACAGCTTTATAATCTCAAATTGCTCCTCAAAACTACTGGTTTGAATCTTTTCATTTTTCCCCTAAATTTGCGAGTATTTCTTTATTTATTAATTTTCTACTTTTTCTCTTAAGTTTTAATTTGGTAAATTAGTATGTTTATTCTGGTAAATCTGCAACTTAAAGCTCAACGATGTAAATTCTGTTTTCCTGTCTCTGAATGGCCCCATCAGGCCGCGGTGCGTTTGTTCCCTTATAAATGCTGCCTGGCTGACCCCTGGTGGTTCATTTCGTGTACTGCATGCAGCAGGATGTGGAGCTGATGAGGTGATATTTTAAAATCATTTCTCCTTCCTTCTTCTTTTCCAGGTTCTTCAGTCAGCGAAGGAGCAGATAAAATGGTCCATCCTAAAATGACATGGGAAGAAGAAAAATAAAATCAATGAAAGAAATGTTGGATATCTCTAAGCTATTTTCCTAGATCCAGGTCATCAGCTGACAGAAAAGGGCCCAGTAAAATAGTTTGTTTTTTGATTTTATTTTTTTCTGATGGTGATTCGTTACATTTGTTTAAAGTGTATTTAATTGGTTTTATTGTATTTTTGTCTAATTGATGGATGTATAGAGTGGAAATGTAGCAAGCCAAACGGTGCTGCAGGTTATTAAAGGGACACCCAGGAAATGATCCAGTGCCTGATCAGTCAGCAGAAAGGTTGAAATATGAAACGAAAACGTTTTAACTGATATTTTCAACCAAATATCCCATATTTAATGGTGGTTTCTTCTCTTTAAATTATGTTTTACTCACCGTCTCACAAGAATATCTGCTGTAGCTTCAGTGGGATTAAAAAAAAAAACATTGAGGGGAAAAAAAAACAAATATGCTTTAAAGTGGTTTGAAAATATTTCAAACTAAAACGTTTTGCCTTTTTTCAGCAGGAATTTGGACTTTAGGCCTAAATAAACAGCAGCGACCTTTTCTACAGAGTTTGAAGGATTATTTACTTTAAAAGTTAACAACACTAAGAGCAGCTTGGGTGGTTTTTATTACAGATGCACTGAAAACAAGATGCAAAAATATTCACTAGATTTTATTATCAAGAAGAAAACAAAGAAGCTAAACCTGGAAATGTTACAAAATATTGTCTGTTTTACTTTTCGTGATAAACTCAGATTGTTCGTAGATAATAAATATTTTCATAGATGAAAATAAATAAAATGCCAAAGATGATTTTTATTGGAGGGGATGTTACTGAAAGGAGCTGATTTTATCTGCTGTTGGTGAGACTCACAATAAAAACGCTCATACTGGTTTTAGTTTTCTGTTTTGGTCTTTTTTTTATTATTAAAGTTTTATATTTTGAAGGAAATTGTGTTGAAATTTAATTTAAAAAACGAACATGGAGAGATGTGCGGCCTCTCAGCCAAATCCCCAGAAAAATGAATATTTAGTGTTGAGATGGACCAATGAAAACAGGGGAGAGGCTGAGGGATGTTATTGGCTGAAGGCACGTGACGTCAGTCAACACGTATTGGGCCCATCTAGCCAATAATATCTTACACTTCGGCTTCTCAGGGATCTGATTGGCTGGATGAGTCATCCAGCCCAACATGCCGTCAAAAAAATCATAGATTAATCAATAAAATCAGAATAAAACCCAAATATAAAGCAAACAGGAGTAAAAAGATAAATAACTGGTTCAAAGGGAAAACTAAACGTTCAGTTTTGGGGGAAAAAACAACACTTAAAAACGAATTTTCATGTTAGTAATAGTGGGTTTTAAATACAAGTATTTTGGTAAATGATAAAATTTGCTACCCAAAAAAAAAAACATGAGGGTTCGTTGAAATCTTATAGACCAGGGTTAACCAATTAAAAATCAGTGGGGTCCTAGTAATCCGGAGACATTTTTAATTGTAATCTGTTACTTTAAACAGGTGTTTATTTATCCATGTTATACATTG